GTAACCCCCCCCCCCCCCCCCCCCCCACCCCCGTGTGTGTGCTCCGTCTCGAAAGGGACGCGTGGTCAATGGTCAAATGACTACGGCAACAAAGGAGTACGCCCCCCCCCCACCCCCCGGTGTTTGCCATCGGGGTTGGGTTTTCGTCGCTTGGCAACGACGTTGTAAAAGAAGCCACTTCGTGAACTCGGCAACGAGGTTGCCGGTTTTGTTTTACCTCTGGTTTTTTTTTTGGCGGTAACCATGAATGGTGGTCGCGTAGATCATGTTGTGCGGGGTGGAGAAACCTCACTCCGCGCAAGGGGGATGATCGCACCACGTTGTGTTAAAATGGTCAAGCATCCTCGAGGCAGCTAACACAGTGCTTATAACTGTCTCTGGAAGTGAAAGCACCAGAAAATAAATGAAGTCATACGCAGCTGTCATCCGTAGGCAAGGAAGTAAGCACAAGATGCCGAACACCCTTAGCAGGATGCAGCGCACCCTTCATGCGACTCGCCGAATACCTCACGGCGCTTCGCGCTTGGTGATGTGAGAGCCTGGTCCGGTGAGAACCCGGCGTGCTCCGTCCCGGCTTTGTATGGATGCGAGGTCAATGGTCTAACGACTACGGCATGCACGACTATGAGTACACCCCCCCCACCCCCCGCCCCCCCCCGGTGTTTGCCATTGGGGTTGGGTTTTCGTCGCTTGGCAACGACGTTGTAAAAGAAGCCAATTCACTTGGTGAACTCGGCAACCAGGTTACCGTTTTTGGTTTACCTCTGGTTTTTTTTTTGGCGGTAACCATGAATGGTGGTCGAGTAGATCATGTTGTGCGGGGTGGAGAAACCTCACTCCGCGCAAGGGGGATGATCGCACCACGTTGTGTTAAAATGGTCAAGCATCCTCGAGGCAGTTACACAGTGCTTACAACTGTCTCTGGAAGTGAAAGCACCAGAAAATAAATGAAGTCATACGCAGCTGTCATCCGTAGGCAAGGAAGTAAGCACACAAGATGCCGAACACCCTTAGCAGGATGCAGCGCACCCTTCATGCGACTCGCCGAATACCTCACGGCACTTCGCGCTTGGCGATGTGAGAGCCTGGTCCGGTGAGAACCCGGCGTGTTCCGTCCCGGCTTTGTAGGGATGCGAGGTCAATGGTCTAACGAACTACGGCGCATGCACGACTCCCCCCCCCCCCCCCACCCCCCCGCCGGCCGTGGCCCTGTTGTTCTTCCTCGTCGTTTCTTGTTCTCAGGGGACAGCAAGCGGTAGCTCAGCAACGGACGTCTCCACCAAGGCGCCGCGTGAGTAGCCTACCCTAACGGTTTGCAGTGCTTTGAAATACTACGGATTCGCGGTGTCCATGCTTTCGCGGTGTGGTGTTTATCGGGACGTTGCGGTCCATTCCCCTGTTTTGCCCGTTTGGGGACTCGTGGCTATTTGCTGGTGGTTGACAGGTCAGGTTAAGTGGTGGAACGGTGAGTTTTCGTCGAGATGCTGTGCCGTTAAGCCTCCCACAAATGGATTAAACTACAAAGCTTGCTTGGTGATGGGCTCACACGCCAGCAGAGCAGTAGTACAGCTCCTCTCGTTTTCTCCCCTGCCGGACAGTTTTGTGTGCGTCTCTCGTTTGGCCCTTGAGATAGCAGTGACTACACCGGCGAGAGCCATTAGGTACCTGACACCGGCACCTTGAATCCCCCCCAACCCCATGCTGCCACCGCACTCTTTCCTCTTTGTTCGCACCTTGCTGCTGCTGCTGCTGCTACGGCGTGTTTTTTGCGGGGGTTGCAGTGGAGTTGATGGACCCTTCCGACGTGATTAACGGAGAGGAGCTGGAGGAATGCACCCACAAGGCTAGAGGGAAGCTCTTCCGGCTGGTCAACAAGGAGTGGGCTGAGATGGGGATCGGCAACTTGAAGGTGAGAACGGGGGGGGGGGGGGGGGGAGGTTGGAGACGCACCTACCGTTTTGTAGTCGGCAGTAAGGAGCGGGCTAGGCTTGAGGTTGGTGGTAGACACGAACCAGGATATATGTTGGTTGCAAGAAGATAGAGCGAAGGGCTTGAGAGCGAGCGAGACGTTGTTTTGAAGACGAGGTTCATCTCTGGGAAAGGGGGCTGCGTCGTAGTTCGTCCTTGTCTGTTGTGTTGAGATAGGTGCCGTTTTTTTTTCCGGGAAAGACGGGCGTATCAAAGGCTGAAGGGGACGTAGAGGCAGGTACGATTGGAAGCCCACCCTTGCACCTTGCGCCCGCTGGTACGGCGGTGGTGTGGCGCCGGAGGCATAGGCCCTGGTGGTTTTTGTGTGTTGCATCGGGTGTCGTCGGTGCCGTTGTCATTGCAGTCGCCTGCTGCTGCGTCGTCGTCAGTGTTTTCGTCGTGGTGGTTTGTGGTCACGGGTCGGTCGGGTTTGGTTCGTCGTGGGATTTCCAGGCATCTTGTGTACGTGAAACCCAAGTCGGGGAGGGCGGGGGCGAGATTGAAATCGAGGATACTTTTGCGGGAAGGGAGAGGCGGAATGGACATTTGCGCGTCCACGCACATGCTGCTGCACCTATTGGCGTTATTGTCGTGTCTTGTCGTGTCGGAATACACACAGCATGAACGGAACTCGCAATAGTAATGGTGGCGTTTTGTCTCGTCCCCAGTTGGACCCTTCTCCTTTGGGCCGGGGGGGCTGGGCCGTCAAGCACAGGTTTGTCATATTATTTGGGTTAGATTTTGGTGTAGGATCCACCGCTGACCTGCTGTGTTGTTCATGGTCCTATCGCTTCCTTTCTTTGACAAATTGGAACCTCTACATCAGCGGAATTGCTACCATCGGTATTTCTTAATCGGAGTACCGATCTGTGTTTACCTTGGAATGATCAGGTGCTCCGAAGCGCGGTGAGCAAGGATGCAGACGGTTCCGGCGATGCCAACCCGGAAGAAATGAAAACAAGCGCCGCCGCCACGGCTCGCCTGGTTATGCGGAGGGAGGCGGGGCAGCAGGTGAGGGGGCACAAAGGGCATGGGGGATATGGGGGTCGAATCCACCCTGGCTCCTGTTGTGTGGTGTGTGTGTGTGTTTTATTTTCCGATGACACCATTTGGGATATGTAGTGGTTGCCGCTGGCAAACTAGTTCCCCTTGTTGTCGTGCTGATGAAAAAGTTGACAAAGCTTTTCATGCGTGTTTCGTACTCTACCTCTGCGTCAAGCGTCCAGTGTTTTTTTTGTCCACCAGCAGCATGCTTTCTCTCTTGCACCGCTTCACACGCTCCGTTGCCTGCACATGGATATTGTCCAGGGAAGCCTGATGGTATGCGTACCACCTTGGTTGGCCCTTGGGACTACTCATCCTCATTTTTTTTCTCATTTTTCGCCAGAACCTCGCCTGATTGTGACGCCCACCTGAACCAATGCTGAGACCATTGGAGGATGGATGGGATACGGTAGCCCGTGTCCCGTCTTTTGGTGGATGGGACAGTCGGTGTCCCGTGGTATGGTTCGGATGTTTCGTTCCGTCTCTGCATGCGTCGACTCGGGTATGTCTGCGGCGTTCCTAGAGTCCCGTCTCTCCTCCTCCTCCTCCTCCTCCTGCCGCTGTCGCTGATGCCGCCTTTCTCCATCGGCGCGCCTGCCTCTACACCCTTCTTCGTATGTGCCTCGTGTGCGTGTGCCCAGGTGATGATCAATGTGTCCCTCCAGGCCCAGACGAAGTGCTCCATGCAAGGCGAAAAGGCTCTTCTGCTGACGTGCTTCACCGCCGACGGCCCGGCAACCTTCCTCCTCAAGGTAAGCTATGTAAGCAAATGTATTGTAGAAGCAGATGGGGGTACTGCAGGATGGGTTGGCGCCAAGCAATCGGGCACTGAAAATCGGTTCACGGGAGATCGTATGCCCAAGTACGGTAGGCAGGTAGGTACGTAAACGGACTGACGTCAGGTATACTCCGGAGGATGCATCATCTGTTTGTACTACAGTTGTGTACCGAAAGGGGAAGCATGAGGATGTTCACGTTAGTACCCCTTCTTCACTGTTCCCGTGTCCCCTAACCCCTCGCCACCGGTACCTCTGCGACTAGGTGAAAACCCCGGAAATTGCGAGCACCCTCAAGGCGTCGATTGATGTGCTGCTGCCGCCGCCGGCGTCGGAGGAGGAGAAGGAGAAGGAAGGATCGGCCGTGTAGGATAAAGTAGAGGTTTTGAGACCGTCAGTCGCGGGAGCAAGCTTCCCATATTTTTTTTTTCCCCACGAGAGGGGGCCTATGGGTGTTTTTGGCGTTTCGGAACTCGCCGTTTTTTTTTGGCAGCTTTGGGGAGGGTTTTGTGTTTTTTTGGTTTTGGGGGGGCAGCCCAGGGTTCCCCCCCCCCCCCCCCCCCTTATCGTCTTTGTCTTCCACGCCCCCCCCTTCTTTTTCTGCTAGAGGAGAGAAAAGGCGTCTCGTGCACACGACGCTTTCTCAGAATAAATGTACGAGTGGGCCCAGAGGTTGCCACTGCTGTCGTATGGCCGATTGGGCTCGACTCGATTTTATGCTCGGGGTTCGAGTCACGAGATTGGTGTTGGCACTACGGTAGGGAGCCCTTTTTTAGCACAGGGCGGGGCTTTGACCAGCACACCTCTTCATTCTGATCGAAAAGCATGCACCTCAGCCATGGTTCTAGAAAATTAAACCAGCGCTGAGCGATATACTCCCGACTAAACGTACTGTTTCAAGAGGCGGGGGGTCCGTGACCCTCTGTGTGGGGGCGGGGGGACCTACTTTTTTGCTGCGACGACATTGTACTGCAGCGAAGACTCTCAATATGTTGTTCCTTCCTTGAGTGGTCCCCTAGCCGAGACATCTCGTGGTGCTTGCTCTCGACATGTTACTTTGACGGCCGAACTACGCCTCCGATTCTCAGCTTGTGTGGTGGCGCGGGGGCCATCCGGCGCGGTAGGGTGGTGAATACAAAGCAAGGGCTATCGCGTCGTCGGCCTTTACTTTTTAACTGTTTGGGGGTGGCGTGTGTCTCCAAGTTATTCCAGTTCTTCTCGATTTGTTGTTGTCGTTGTTGCCTCGATTTATTTTCGTCCTTGTCTCGAAGTCGCTTCCATCCTTTCGTGCGGCGGTTTGATCATCTGCTTGCTGTCAAAAAAAATTTCGCGCATCGGTGGTGTCATGGTTTTTGTTGTTTTCCTCCTGAACACATGCCGGCAGCGGAGCTGAATGTTGGTCTTTGATAGGACGCGTGTGTGGCAGACGGTAATGGTAGGTCGGCAGGAAGTGAGTGCCGTTGCGTCCGCCTTTTGCTTTTCAGAAAAGAAAAAAAAAAATCTTCCTTGTCCTTAACGCGGAGCCCGCAGCGGAAATGCGGCGCGGTAGTTGTTCTTAATCGCTGGGTGTCTTGAGGAAGTGTGGTGGTATGTCGATTGCGTTTCGTGCTTTAATTCTTTTTTTCAGCCGCGGCGGCGGCGAGGTTTGGGGTGCAGGCAAGAGTGCGGGAGGAGGAGAGAGATTGGTGGGGGAAATGGGATCCCGAATACCCTCTTCTGTTTGGCCTTTATTCCGTTCATCGGTGGGTTTCGGTTTGTCGTCATGCCAGTTGGTGTCGAGTTGCGGGTTGTGTCGCCCCTTTGTGTTGACGGCTGTTTCTCAAAAACGCAAGAACCGGTGAGCAATCAAACAAGGTGGCACTGTTAATTGTTCCCCGCCGGCGGTAAATTTCCGTTTTTTTTTTTATAGTCGTTACTCAATGAGCAACTTTATCTCGGATTCGCGGTTGGCATCATGCAGGGCTACGATAAAACGGTTTTTGAGGCCGATAATATGTGCGAACAGGAGACCGTGGCCGTTTGTATGTGTGAAGTTCAATTTTTTGTTTGAGGCTACGGTAAGAGATCCGACGCGGGGGGAACATGAGAGTGAAAAGGAAAAGTGTGAACATGGCAAACGTCAGGTTATGGCGGTAACAACCCATGGAGCAGCGCATGAGAGATCAGCATTGGAGTTTTGTGTCGACGAAGGTGTAGCGGGGGGTTATGGGTATGGCTTTGGTGGTTGCAGCAGCAGCAGCAGCAGCAGCACTAGATGTCGCAGCAATACTTTTGCTTTTGTCCCGCATGCCAAGCATTGCTACAGAACTCCGCTTGCGATGTCTTGATTACCTGAGTTCCAGTAGTACCTGCAATGGGCGCAGCTCTATCCCAATGAGATGTTGCTACCCACGTCCCATTGCGTCGCACGTGGGTTAGGGCTGTAAGGCGAAGCAGCCGATGGCAAGGGGAGCACCAACAGTAGTGCTCTCCCAAAGCTTGTGGGAGCAGTTCATAACTCACCCATCTATTTTCTCGTGCTGTAAGCGTGATGCAAAACGACCTCCCTAAATGGGCAGTATTGTCGCGTTGCGAGCGGTAGATTTGGCGAATGGGAAAAAGAGGGGGGGAGCAGGAAAGTAGAAGTAGGTTTTATCACCGAAACAGTTGCATTTGATGGGACATCTCGGCCGGCTACAAATTGTGCGCGTGGAGAGCTGTATCGCCCACTTGGATTACCACTCCCGACTTTTTTCTTTTTTTTTTTGAAATGTATCGGGTCAAGGAGTGCGAGAAGAGACATAAGACTTTTTTGACATGTGTGTGCTATGGAGTCAGTCCCATCCAAGAAATCCGGCGGAAGGCGTGAATGAAGTGTTTCTTGTCGAGGTGTGAATGGAGTCGCTAGAGGTTGGTTGCGGTGTGGTTTACTCTTTCCGATGGGTGGCGATGAGTTGGGTGGTTTGTGGCATTGTGGGGGAACCAGACTACGAACACGGCGGCAAGAGCGCATTCACGTTCAACTACTTTCCAAGCTGAGAACGACTTACGGGCGTACGCAATCGTCGTTTTCTGCTTCAATATCGGGGCTAGGTTTTCAATTCCGATCCTGATGAGTGCCTTGCCTGCTTTACTTCCTGGAACGCAGATAAATGGGTGTGCAACCGTGGCAGCGTCAGATGTCTCGCCTTGCTTCGCACTCCCCTGCCTATAGCTGCTGTGGGACTTTTCATCTTGTCAAAGATTGTAGCTTGTCGTTCCCGCCAACATTAACGTAAAGCATCTCCGTCGCTGATGGACGTGGATTAAGGAAAACCCTTGCACCCCACTCTTCTTTCCTCGGATAGGCACAAGAACCGCGGCCTTGGTATCCTCCTCCCCCTATCGTCAACACCAAACCGAAAGAAATAAGAAGCAGAGGTCTTCCCGGGGAGTAACCGCCACGTCGGAAAACATCAGGTACATCCCTCGACCCTTCTTCCAAACAAAAGGTTGAACTTGAAGCGGAGGCAGGGCGGGGTAGTGATCCCACGTACCCCCCCCCCCCCCCTTCCGACACGGGGAAGCCAACACGAAGTAAAGAGAAGCTGCGGTCGCTTTTCTCAAGAAACATGTTTTTTTTTTGCTCTCTTGCGCTGCATGTTCTACGAATGGATGTCGGCAGCGGAACGGAACCAAAAGGGCGGGTGGTGCACCTTTTGCCCAATAGACCCACCCCATGAAAGAGCTGTTGCCTCAAGCCTGCCAACACGGTCTACCAAAACACATGTGCGGAAATCCAACTACCGCTGGTGTCGACAAAACTCGGCCGTCGTCTCTTCTCTCCGCACAAACCACCGACAACCAAAACCCTTCGCTCCAAGACCCCGCCATGATCTCTCCGTCTTTTGTTGTCGTCGCTCAGCGTAGCACGGCCAGAAGCGCCTTGGCGCACTGCACCACAATTGGATCAGTTCTCCCTTCAGACCCACCCCCCGCAGGTAAAGGCACAGAACACAGGCAAGGGAGCGCGGGGGGGGGGCGTGGGACGTACGTGAGCGTGGCGCGGATCATTGAGTGGGCCTGGAGGGGGGCGTCGTGCTACGTGCTCGACTTGAAACCGTTTCCTCCACCAATCGGACCATGCTGATTGGATGCTTTTTATGCCCGAGCGCCAACTTTGGTTAGTGAGTGAAACGGTGCACTTGACATGGAGGACATGCTCTTGCGACGGGTTGGCTCGACCCGGAGGGGACAACAGACAATAACAAACCGGCATCGTGCATACATACGCGATTGTGGCAGCGGCAGAAGCAGCAGCAGCAGCAGCAGCAACAACACCAGCATCAGCATACATGGCACTGCCCAGAACGATTTCACCCGAGACTTGACGAGCGCAAAATAGACCGCCGCACCTTCCTGAGCCGCCTTGACCGTATCTGCCATATCCAAGTCCTTCGCAACCTGCAGCACAACCGGTCCCGCCTGGTGTTGTTGACGTTTTTCAGGTGCCACCACCCACCCGGGGAGGGAGAGGAGAGAGTGTAGCGAGAGTAGGAATGGGAGGAGGAAGAGCGTCAGGAACATCATGTAGCTGAGACCTATATGATAGAAGCTGAAATAAAAAAATTAGACTGGTCAGCGCTAATGATTTGATTTCGGCTTCAAAGCGCTGACTAGTCCAATGGTTTGATTTCGACTCCTATAGACCGTCGGGCAACGATGAGGACAACAACAATGCTAGCAACACGTTTGTGCACCACCAGCCACGGTAAATAGTCGTCCAACGAAAGACGAAGCGATATTTTCCCGCGGAAGCATGACGGCACGACCTCTCGAAGCTGTCAGGTCAAAACACTCAAAGACCTTTCGACCTGTCTGTCTCTTCCAACCCTGGGATGCGATCCCGGTTCTTTTCACGAAACTCACATTCCAAGCTGAGGTGGGAAACCAAACAAAACGAACACCCACGAACAACCACGCCAGAAAGCCTGTCATCCAACCATCCTCCCTCACCGTTACCAGAGTGCCGAGACCCGCGAGCGACCGGTACAACGCGTCGTCACCAAAGGCCGCCGTCGCCCCGCCCAGCACCTCCGAGTAGAGCGCCACCAGCTGCTGGTAGGCGTCCCCGAGGCCCGCCGTCAGGGCCTCCTGGTGGGACGCCACGGCGAGGTTGAGGAAGAGGGTGGCGAGGGCGAGCTTGACCGTCTTGTTATCCACCCCGCCGCCGTCCGCCTTTTGGGAAAGACACGCCGCCATCACCGACCGATCGACGCACACACACAAAAAAAAGGCGACGGGCACCAACAGGGAGGACGGCAGAGAGAGGAGGAGCGTAAGAGATGGAGGTGTACCGGGACATGAGACAAGAGGAGAACCTGGATCGAATACGCGAACCGGAAGCACCAAACTCGATATTACTGAGAAACAAAACTAGGTAAAACCACAAAAAATCAATAATAGGGAGACCAAGCAGAGAAAAAAAAAAAAACGGTCCATACAACATGGCCTGGTCGGAGCCGGCGGATGCGTGTTAACAGTCTATCAGCCAACCTACAACCAGCAAAAAAAGGGCGAAAAACAAATAACAACAAAACAACAACTGGTGCCGAGAAGAGGACGCGATGGAAATGTCGAAATCAAACCTGGTCCGAAGCAGCGTCCAGAATCGTCGAAGCGTGTCCAAGAACAACCTTCTTGGATGATCGGTGCCGGAAGAGGTTGCTAAAAAAACGCAGCCCGCACAGGACCACCGGCATCTAGGCGCGGCAGCGATTCACCGCAGCAGCAAGCATCACGGATAATCATCGCAGTCCCCAGCACAGCCCAGCGCGGAGAAAAATCGTGTACAACCGCGGGCAGAGCCAGCAGCCAGCAGATAATCGGGGCGTTGGGCAGCACAGTGTCAAGAAGAGAAGGAAGCACGAAACAAACGGAAGGGGAAGGCGGGTGACAAGCGTGTTACTCATGTTGGGGTTCTTTTCGCGATAGGGCAAGGATAGATCGTGTCTTGTACGGGGTGTCGATTCGGTGCATCTCCCCCCGAGCCCTCTCCCCGTCTTTCGAACATTCCGCTCCTTGCCACCCTCGACACGACAGGAAACGAGGTACAAGTACGGCAGCTGAACCATTATTTTTTACTCACAAGTAGAAAATATGGTACAAACACGGAGAGACTACCCGTTCGAGTTATAACCACAGTTGAAGGAGACGTGCTAAAGCCTTTGCAGCTTGTTGCAGCTTGTTGCTGTTCAGAGAGGGGGGGGGCTGCACGGTGTGATTAACGTGCCCCTTTTTCGTCGGGGCAGGGGCAGCTCGTTTCGTGGGTGTGAACCGGATTGTGATTGTCCCACCGTTCCACCATTTGGTGCAGAATTTTTTTCGGTATGGTGCGCACCGCGCTGGCGTCTCGTGAAATTACAAAAAACAGTCCCCTGAACGTGGAACCCAGGATGCGAGTGTCTTCCTACCTACACAGCAGCATCGACCCAGGGTATCTATGAATATGGGAAGTTGCAACGGGAGGCAGGCACTCCTGACAGACAGCACTTATGAAAAAAGCTCACCAAACCCTTCCCTTCGCCGAGCTTGTCTGCCACCGCCTTGATCAGACCTCCGCCGCCGCCACTGCCCCCGGTCTCGGCAAGAGCGAGCACCTCCGCGAAATGAGGGTGGAGTGCCGCTAGTCGGCACAGGTCGATGCAAGGGAAACACTTGTCGACCGGCCTTACCAGCGACGGGGGGGGGGGGGGGGTAAGGAGGGGGGGCCAACCCCTGTTAATCCTGCCCCCCTTTTTAAAAAATTTACCCCCCCCCCCCCAAAAGAAAAAAACGGGGACGGCGGGGGGAAACCACCCCCTTTCCCCAGAGAAAAGTTCCCCCCGAAGGGCC